TGCGTGCTGGCGTTGTGCACGTATTCGACGTATGTGGCGGTGTTTTTGTTCGTGCAGTGTTTTGCAAGCGTACACGTATTGGTGGCGTTGCGTGACTGTTTATGCACAGTAGCACGTTAATGTGCGGTGCGTGCGTGTGAAGTGACAAGCGGATGTGTGGCATGTCGTTTTTGCGGTGCGTTTGCACGTACACGTAGTGGTGGTGGCTTTTTGTTGGCTTTGTTTGCACGTTATACACGTATTGTGCTTTTGTGGCGTGGGTCAAGTGTGTACGTTAGCCATGCGTTTTGGGCATGTTCGTGGTTCGTTGTCGTTGGTTTTGGCTACGTACTATTTCGTTTAGGTGTGCTTGCGTGTGCGTGTGCCAACGTAGCATTTGCTTTGTCAGGTGAGTGGCGTAGTCTGTTTGCTTGTGATGGTACGTAACACATGCGTGCATGGCGTGCATGCGTTGCTGTTTGTGGTGCGGTGCGTGCTAATTTACGTGCACGGTGTTTGTGGCTGATGTCGGGTTTCGTGCCGTTGTTTTCTATGATCGGGGATGTACGGTTGGCAATGCGTTTTTTGTGTTGCGTGGTGTGTTTTCAGTGTACAAGGTCGTGTGTGCGTGTTTGTTGTTTGCACGTACATTTTGTTTGCGTGCGTGCGTTGTGCACTACGTCTTAGTGCTTGTGTCATGCATGCGGGTGTGATTTGCGTGTTGTTAATCTCGTGTGACCTGTGCGTAGGTTATATTCGTACTGTTGTGATTTGCTTGCGTGCGTGGCGTATGTTCTAAGCGGGTACAGTTGTTGCGTGCAATGCGTGCGTTATGTAAGCGTTGCGGTTTTTTTTTGCCTGTGGCGGTGTGCACGTACACATGCGTTTGCATGCGTGCTTGTTTGTGGCCGTCTTGCAGCGTATAGCGTAATGTGCGTGCGTGCGTGCATGTGTACGTACACTGGGCGTGCATGCGTTGCATGTAGAAACGTGGCACGTGTGTGCAGTGAGTGTGCGTGTGTCATACATGGTATCGGTCATGCGTGTCGTGGGTGCAGGTTACTCGTTTTGTACTGTGTTGTGTCAGTGCGTGTTCGTTTTCGTGTTTGCGCTCGAGGAGTGGTATGTAATATGTTTATTGAGATTCACGGTCATACTAGTGATGCATACGAAATATAGCCAAGTACCGTGCTACGCTAGATACTGGTACCTCGTCTAGAGAGCACCGCTGGCCTCGATTATTTTACGCAATTACCAAGCTGAACGTTTGCCTACTGGCATTGTCGTTATAATTATACTGCTTTGTTAGCGATAATGCTGTCCAATATAACACTAACAGTTCTGATTTTTATAATCTAGACTGCCATCGGAATACGCAGAAAACTACTGCGAAACCTGCTAAAGTCAAATGAAGCCTAATAACAATGTTTATAAGCTATTTTCCGATATTACACTTACCTTAAAAGCTGTGCCTAGTATAGTCACCCTCTACTGAAGTGATGCGGCTGCATCGGACGTTTACGGGCAGGCTATTTTTATTCATATTTGATGATCGCTATGTTAGCGAATACGATCCGGTTGTTTTCATTTTTTTTGTGTTGTTTTCTAATTCTGTGTTGATGTTCTGATATGTTCTTTTCTCAACTGAACCGGTTGAGTTTGCGGCATTTTTTTTTCGTCTTGTTAACTATTCTCTTTCTAACTCTAGCGTTTCCTGGCTTGCGCGCACCTTGCTGACAAAGCTTTGCGATCTTAAATCTCGCTATTCTGAAGTTTAGTAGCGACGTTTATCCGGTCTTTGTTTTTTTTCTTCTTTATGCCTATTTCGTCAGTCTTTTCTTCTCTGTGAATTTCGCGTGACATTCAGCTGACGTGTACGAACAAGAGGACGATTATATGTTTTAATTTAACTTTATAGTGAACACTGTTTTCACTGGTTCCCAAATGTCTGTTCGGTTCCTCTGGTGTGTCCCGGATTTCGTTCACTTAAATAGGGTTGTGGGACTGTTCGCTTGGTGGTGCTAGCTATGGATGCGTTGCGCGTCGTGGCCTTTATTTGGCGTTATGCATTCGGCCACGGATCTCATAGCTGCCAGGCTGGGTCTCGCATACGTGTAGGAGTTGCGTTTACCGGGCGGTCGCTGTGCGCCTTGCGCGGAACTGCGGCGGCAAGAATTCTGCGTCTCTTAGTTGTTGGTACTGTTTGTTTTTTGGCTCGTTGTGTTTTTGTTTTGTTGTGTTTTTTTCGGTTTTTCTATGACGGACTTTTTCCGTTTCTTCGCAGACTGGTTGGGGTTGGCTGTCTCTAGGTAGTCGTGCTCGTCGTGCCTCTGGATGTGAAACTGGCGGTCCGGGTTTCGCACGTCGTATGGATGTCATGAGTCATGTAGCTTGTGTTCTTCTTTGGTTGCGTGGTATGTGAGTTGTAGGTATTCATTGGGTCTGGTTTGGCTTCCTTAACCTTATATGCGGGTATATGGCTTGACTCTTTGGTTTTTGTCGATAATTCATACTGTATACTGAAGTTCTTAAGAGGATAGGTGGCGTTATTATGTATGGTTGATTTTATTTTTTGTATAGGATTGTATTATTTGGTATTTCAACTGCTGTGTTGTATTTGGCTAATTTGCGTATAGGAAGTTGCCGTAAATAAAAGATGTCGTGTTATTTCTGTACTTTTTGTACCGTTTGTGGGATGGGTGGCATTCGCTTTATGAGAGTTCAGGCGAATTTGTTTAGGTGGGCTGTCTGCTTCGTTTTTGTTGGTTGAGGTCAGTTATAAGGTGGTGATGGATTCCGGTTGGGTGCTGTGATGATTGCTTGTTGATGTTAGTTGTGGTGTTTTGTGTTGTTATGGGTCCTTGTGTGTCTTGGTATGTAGATCTGTTGTAGTGGGTAGTGGGTGTACTGTGATGTATGTTGGTTTGGCCGTGGCTAAATTTGTGGATTGTATTTATCTTAATCTGGAACGTGTTTAACTTTCAGTTTGCTGTTCAAATTTCGATATTTATTCTTCGTTTGCGAGCTACAGTTGAATATTAGATTTGTTAGTTGTATGCTTCTTATATTATCGATTTATTACTGGAGTTTTACTGTTTCCTGACGTTGGTTTATCACACTGTAATATATACTGCAACATTAACTTGACTTAGCCTTTCTTTTATTGTAACACCTTTGATATGAAGGCTAGAATATGTTATCGGTTTTGGGTTTTTTGTTGGTCTCTGAGGTTTTCTTGTCTTTGGTTACTTTATTTGGAGTTGTTGTTTTGTTTTTATTTGGATCATTTTTGGTTTTTGTTGACAGCTATCTGAATTGTTGCCGGTTTTATTTTAGGTTACTTGATATATATTTTTTATTTTGATTTCTTGTATTACATTTACATGGATTCATAATTACGTGAAAAATTTATCTTTTGCTGATTATTGGGCCTTTTGTTAAATCGCAAATTATTTCGGTTTTGATTTTGTTATTTAGGTAAATAACCATGCAGCTTCGTTGCGGGAATGTACTTAGTTAAATATGTTATTTAGCGGCGTTCTGCCGTTAAATTGTTGTCTTTTCGAATATTAGTATATATTTTTGTTATTTTTTTATGTGGCCTGTTCTGTATATTTGACTGTACCAAGTCAGCTGAATTATCAAATAATCTTTCGTGAACCTTTGATAGGTATCATAATTTTCATGATAGTGATTCTCTCATGGTAGGCGTTAATATTATTTTGGATTAGTGGTATTGCTTACATTATTTGGTAAACGTGATTTATGTTTTTCGGTTGTTTGTTATGGCGGACTGTATGAATACTGGGCAGGCCATTACTGATTATTTTCTTATTTTCTGGCAGTTATATTATCTTTAATCTATTTCCTAAATTTTGCAGATACACTTTTTTTGGGTGGTTTCGGTTTTGGTTTGCGTGTTGTGCCTTGGTATTACGAAGTATCTAAGGGTGGTGTTGCTTCTAATTGTATGGTTAGTGTCTATCTTGTTATATAATAAATGGTTGAGAGTAGCTGAGCGGGTCTTGAGTGAGCCTACTGGTTCTTTTCGTCTTAACCTTTTCCTTTTCACGCCTCCACATATAATGTTTTCTGTATCATTGTATCTTTGCTATTTTGTTGGTGATTAAAGGTAAATTTTTTGAAATTGAAATTGAATTTGAATTGAATTCGGGTTGCCTTGTGAAATATATTCAGAGAGAGCGTACCAAGTATTCAGAAGATACAAAGATATCGGCTAGCAAATTTAATTTAAGAGAATTCTGGGCTCGTATTCTGAGAAGAAGATTAAATATTTACCGGCTGCCTGGTGATCATTTGGTTGTTTTAATTCTTTCATTAATCCTCATCGTCTGAATCGGAAGAAAAATCTTCATCGATGTTCATCTTAGCAGTTAAATATTAATTCTAATCCAGGTAGTGAGACTAATTAGAGTATCAACGCAAAGGCCGAAACACAACAACGCATACGGTTGTTTCAGGGTTGTTGGATGTTTCAGTGATGTTTCATGACAAATCTGGAATTATTGCTTCGTGGCGCCATCCAGTGTTAGGTTTCGTCATTATGCAAAGGAATGAACATTTTTACCCAAAGATCACTTCTCATTATTTTCATTAGGTTTATTTTGGATAATATTGGCCTCATTTATTTAAAAGTAACAATTGAACTAACTTATAATATTGTTAATTCATATAACGACAACCATTTCCCGCGAGTTTATTCGGGTGAACTGCTCAGTAGAAGAGGGCACATTCTAAGTTTTATAAATGTTGTTATTTTGTCCACATTATAATTTATATTATAGTATTATTCTTTTACATTTGCCACATTTACTTCATATTTAATTTATATTTTAGTCTCTATCTAATCTTATATTATTTGCTATATTATATCTGAGTTTTTCTCATCTTTGGCACACGCGAACACCATTAATTAAATCCAATAACAATTCTGGCAAATAAAATATAGAAGGAGCAAAGGTAACATGTGATTCTGATGTGAAATTCATGTCGCATTTTTTGTCACATTATGTAACGTTGCGCATGCAGTTTAGTTTAGAAAAATGTACTACTTTAGTAATAACCAGTTATGCTTGCTTGATTCAATAAAACTTAACCGCTTGTCCTTCCCTGCCACGTTCCTGAGCCGAGCTAGAAAAAGCATATCAGCTAAAACATATCGATCTATTATTGCATCATATCTTTCATGTGTTTCTGATAAAAAAATGCATATTAAAAGCGCAAACAACAAATTCGTTCATATAATTAACTTACACATAGGAAACATATGATTAAAAAACATACGGTACATATAGTTCAAGTATAGGTCATGGTAAAAACCATATAGTGCATGTTCTTGCGCCACTATATACGAATAGTATCAGGAGTAGATAATAGGGAATTCCCTATTATCTACTCCTGATAGTATGAAGCGTTCAATTTAGCTATGAGTTATTGATAAAACGACTGTTAAACCAGAGAACATTTTATTCGTACAATTAGAATATATTTTTCGCATTAAAGTTATAAACAGAACGTTAAAGCGGTGTGATCTATCTGAAGTTTATTATCCAATTATCAAAATTTTATTTATCTAAAATGACATCGCTAAAGATCGTAGTGTAGGAATAGTCAAATTAAATGGAGCGATTTGATTGAGACTGATAAACATGATAGATGCAGAGTTATTGCAGATAAATTTCATTTCTTCAGAGAGGGAGAGAGAGATGGAGAGAGCGAAAGTAAGAGAGAGCAGGAGAGCAAGGGAGCGAGAGAGCGAGGGAGAGAGAGAAAGCGCGCGCCATATAGAGTGCGAGAGAGAGGGGGGGGGGAGTCTATTTCAGTATGCAGGGCTTCGTTGCCGTTTCTCACCGTATGTGCACGATTGCACTCTTCTCGTTTTTTTTATCGTTTGTCAGGTGATTTGGCAATGTGCAGAGGTTGCTGCCTCCTTCGCCGGGGGGGGGGATTTTTTTTCCTCCACGTTATATTCATTGCAGAGTTTTGGGCTTTTCTGATTGACTGCTTTGATTTGCTTTGACTCAACCATAGATATACCATATAGATATACACAACATGTATATCTATGACTCAACAAACCTTCAAAACAAGGGAACAAACGCCATTTGTAAATATTTGTTTTGGTTTATGATCGGTAGATAAGTAAGTTTTCTGATGTATTTTCCATGAAAAACACACATTTTACTCATTTTAATATAAAATATAATATCTTTATAATTACAATTCTTTGTGTAAATGTGTTATTTTCATCTTAATCTTAAGTTATGAGAGGGTCTGGGTTATTGGGCTGCGATTTCCATGGGATATAACGTGTACAGGGGCGTAGCCAGGATTTTCAAAGTTGTAGGCACGACTATCTGAGCGGAGCGCCAGCATCGGTTGGCGCGGAGCGTACAAGGAAATTTTTGGTTTTACCAACCCCCCAGATGGCCGGAAATGGCCTTTCCCGAGTGTTCATTCTGGTTCCCTGGCCTCTTGCTAACTTGAGACACCTCATTCAATATCACTTTTAAACCCAAAAAACACAAACGAGTTAAAATAGTGTTACGAACGAGTTAAAATGTTAAAAAACTGACAAGATCGGATCCTAGTCTTTTTCGAAGCGCTAAACTCGCACCGCCTGTCAGAAACAGTGGGGCCGCGAACCCATCTAACCAAAACGTGCAAGGCGACGCCATGATTATTGTTTACGTTCGTATAATAATTAATATGCTGGCCTGCGTATATATTACTTTATTATATTCTCGTTATACATAGAGCGTTTTTACAGCAATTTATTTAAAAGCAGCAGCAGGAGTTTTTTGCCGTTTGCTCATGAGTGGCACTGTGGTGAGTGCTGGGTGAACTTTGTCGTTACGGTCGGTCGTTGTCGCTGCAGTGTGGCCGCGCCAGTCGCCGCGACTTTGTCGTTTGTCGTTACGGTCGGTCGCTGTCGCTGCAGTGTGTCTTGGCCTTTAGGATAGGATAGGAACAGTGACGTCAGTCGGTACATGCGCAGTTTACTGGTTTGGCAGAAAGCAGGTTAACCCGCAAGAGGTTGAAAGCTTGCTTCGTCGCTCAAGAGGTTGATAGCATAATTTGGTTGAAAGCTTGTTTCGTCGTTACCCGTTTTTATACGATTGCATCGAAAGAAAGGAGCGTAATGAGCCATAATTGGAATATATACCCATACAGTATACTATACTAAGGCTGAAGGGGTCGTTGTCGTATCACTATCAGGTACTACAGTGTCGTACCCGAGGTATTATGTGTAGGTAACTATGGTCTATACTACTACTACTAGTACTAGGGCCCAAGGATAGAGAACATATGGGTCCCAATAAAACCAATGGCAATGTGCCTAAACCTAACCCTAACCCTAACCCTAATTCTAACCCTAACCCTAATCCTAACCCTAACCTATTATATTGATATAATATTATATTTATATTGATGTAAATGACATTGGTTTTATTGGGACCCATGGGCATGGGCCATGTTCTCTATCCTTGAACCACTACTAGTACTAGTGGCAGTAGTGCTACTAGTAGTAGTACTACTATAGTACTTACTACTAGTACTAGCAAGAGTAGATAATAACACAGCTGTGTTATTATCTACTCTTGGTACTAGTCATACAACGATGAAAAACATCAAATCGTTTTAAGCTCATCAGTAAGTAAGTATATTACTGATGAGTATATAACCGGATTTTTAAATTTAAGAAAAACTACTTAATTGTAAATCATGCTAGTACTAGTAGTAGTACCACTCAAGTGGTCGTTGTCATATCATGTACTACAGATATACTACAGATATGTACCCGAGGTACATATATGTATACACAAAGTGTACCAGACTTGTACTACAGAAGTGTACCCTAACCCTAACCCTAACTCTAACCCTTAA